ACCCCTCCACAGCCCTTTTAAAGGGGAATAGGGATTGGGGAAGTGCCTCTGCCATTTTATTTACAAAAAATACTTCGCTCTTTTGAATGTTTAGTTTGTAACCTGATACACGGCCAAATTGATCTAAATCGACAGTATGGGGGGGAGAGAGGATAAGGGGTTCGAGATCATAAGAAGAAGGTCATCAGCATACAGAGACAGTTTATGAACCAAGCAATGACGCGTAATGCCCTCAAACCTATCATGGCTTCTGAGCCAGATAGCGAGAGGTTCAATGGCTATATTGAACAACAGCGGCGAAAGAGGACACCCCTGGCGAGTACCACGTTGGAGAGAGAAAGGGGGAGATCGAATGCCATTAGTGTGTACAGAGGCAGATGGAGAGGCATATAGGAGTTTAATCCAGGAAATAAACCGGGAATCGAAACCAAATTTATCAAGACTAGAAAATAGGAAACCCCACTCAACCCTATCAAAGGCCTTCTCTGCGTCAAGTGTCACTATGACTTCGGGGGTGTTAGAGGAAGGAGAGAAAATTACATCAAGCAACCTCCTTGTGTTAAAAAAAGAGTGTCTCCCCACCATAAAGCCTGTTTGGTCCAGCGAAATTATATCTGGCAATACGCGTTGGAGGCGGATAGCCAGTATTTTGGCCAGTACAGTCCACATTTAACAGTGAGATTGGTCTGTAACTGCCACATGAAGTAGGATCTTTGTCTTTCTTGAGAAGCAAGGAGATAGACGCAATGGACAACGTTTCTGGCAATCGGCCTGTCTGGAGAGAGTCATTGTACATCCTTGCCAAAATCGGGGCTAACTTGATAGAATATGCCTTATAGAATTCAACTGTATAGCCGTCAGGCCCAGGAGACTTCCCACTTTGCATAGATTTTATTGCATCATGTATCTCAAGGGTGGAGATGGGGGCGCCCAATTCGCCAGCGATGTTCTCGTTAATTTTGGGGTATGTTAAGGAGTCAAGAGGATTGGGGGTCGTGGCAGGGATCGGGGGACAATCCGAAGTGTAGAGATTGGTGTAAAATTCAGAGAAAGCCCTGTTAATATCAGCTGGGTTAGAAGTAAGGTTGCCATCGGACAATCTGATTTGGGGAATCAATCTGGACGCACTGGCCGCACGAGCTTGTTGAGCTAGGAGTCTACCAGCTTTGTCGCCCTGCTCAAAGTAACGTTGCCTACACTGTCTCGGTTGTCTCTCAACAATGCCTGTCATCAGAAGGTCATGTTCTGAATGTAGCAGGAGGCGTTTTTTATAGAGAGAAGGAGAGGGAGAGGAGGAGTAAGTTTCATCGAGTAAGCGAAGCTCAACACAGATTTCTGAAAGCCTAGCCTTTTCCTCTTTTCTCTTACGTGAAGTGTACGAAATGACCTGTCCCCGTACAGTGGCCTTAAGAGCCTCCCAGAGAATACCGCTACTAACGTCGGAAGTGTCATTAATTTCAATGTCGGAAGAAATCTGAGTGGAAAGATAGTCTCTAAATTCACTGTCTGACAGCAGGGGAGAATTGAATTTCCATAATGGAGGGGGGGACATACCAAGAGGGAAATTAATGTCAACCGAGGTGGGAGAATGATCTGAGATGGCTATCGGATGGTATACGCATAAATTGACTAGATTAATCAAATTGTTATCGAGTAAAAATAAATCAATTCGTGAAAATGTGTGGTGCCTGTGCGAGAAGAAGGAAAATGCTCTACTTTGCGGGTTAATAAATCTCCAGGGGTCTGAGAGTCCTAATCGTGATGCATTGTGCAGTACTACCTTGGCCGAATTGGAGAGAGTAGCTTGTGTGAGCGATGACCTGTCGAGACTCACGTCCTGGACCAAATTCCAGTCGCCAGCCATAATAATACGATGGTTGTCGGCGTTGGGAATTTGAGCGAAGAGGTTCACAAAAAAATTACCATCATCCCAATTGGGAGCGTAGATAGAAGCTAGTATCACTGGTGTGTTCTGTAGCGTCCCCGAAACTATGACATAACGACCATTAGGATCTGATATCGAATTTGTCAGTTCAAATCTGACATTCTTGTGAATAATAATTGCTGCCCCTCTAGCTTTGTGGGAGAATTTTGAGTGGAACAAGTGACTCATCCATGCCCTCTTAATACGAAGGGTATCAGAAGATTTAAGATGAGTTTCCTGCAGGAATATGATATCTCCATTCAGATCTTGCAGCCGTGTCATTACTTTACCAATTTTAGCAGCGTTGTTCATGCCCTTAGTATTCCAGGAAATCAGGCGTACTCCTCTACCTGTCGTTGTCATGGCAGACACCATCTAGGAAGTTCCTTGAAGACAAGTTGACCTGGACAAACACTGTCTTGCATACACAGGAGAAAGAGAAGAGAGGACGACGAAAAATAATAATAGTAATGATAACAAAAAAAACAAAAACAAAAAAACAAAACATGTAACCATACCTATAGCTAAACCCAAAATACACAGCATAATCAAGCACTCTGGCTCAGATCTATGTAATTACACTAACACTTGTAATTACACTAACACTAGTCTTCCGGGGACCTAGTCCCTATCTAAACAGTAAACCATCCCCATATTATTAAGTGAACAGGAAATTGTCAAATATTATGCAGAAAAAATGTGAACACATACAATTTAGTGCAGTAAAAATCAGCATGAACAATCGGTCCAACAAGTAAATACAATGTATTTTATCCATTCAGATAAATGAGACATAATAGGAAATAAAATAAAGTGCAAAAGAAATCTCTGAATGGTAAAGGCACAGGTGGACAAGAAAATAAGCTAGTGCAACAGCTCCACATCAATGGAGCTGTTGCTCCCTCTAGAGGCAAAAGCGATACCCTGCGGATAACGCAGTGAGCTATCAACAGGCATTCATAACGGCAAGGAACAACAAAAGGAAAATATAAGAAGTCAATGAAAACAGGCCAAGAAAATAACTACTAGCCGTGGAGAAACACACATGTCTGTCTGCGTGATAACGCCATAATTAAAACCCATGTGAACTAATAGGTCAGACAAGTTACTGAAGTAGCCACGATGGGCTAGTAAACTGGGCTAACGTTACCAAACCGCAGCAGTCAGGCGGAGGAGGATGTATGAGAGCCAATACCAGATCGGTCAGCTGCAATAAAGTCCTTGGCCTCAGAAACGGAGGAAAGTCTCTTCCTGACCCCATCCTTCAGTGTGATGTTAAGCCTCGCAGGGAAAAGTAGTGAGGGCTTGAAGCCCCGTTGGTAAAGTTCAGACATCACCGCTTGGTATTCCCTGCGCTGCTCCACTATCTCAGAAGGATAATCCTCGTAGATTGCAATGGGGGTCCCACGGTACTGCAGCTTGCCTCTCTTAGCTCTGGCCTCACGGATGATTTTATCTTTCTGCTGGAATCTGAGGAGTCTGACGACCACGGGTCTCGGTCTCTGACCCGGTCCTGGCTTGTTGGAGAGTGTACGGTGCGCTCTGTCGCACTCCGGTGGAGACTCAAAAACGCCGTCACCAAGGACCTCAGCCAGAAGTTCAGAAAAGAAGGTGGAGGGGTGAGGCCCTTCGATGGACTCAGGTAGACCAATGATCCTGATATTGTTACGGCGGCTGCGAGACTCGAGGTCCGTCAATTTAGCTTGTAGCTTGGTATTATTCTCAGCTAGCTTAGCAAACATCGATTCCAAACTTTGTAAGCGTCCGTCTTGTTCGTTAGCGTTGGATTCAAGCGAATTAATTGAGTGGGTATGATCGGAGACTGTGGTTTGAATGCAGTCTAGCTTGGCTTCGAGCGTAGATAAAGTAGCCTTGAAGTCTGCAGAGATAGCATTCCGGTGTTGTTTCAGTTGGTTAGCCAAAACCGCCATGTTGAAGTCACTGCCATTTGCCGCCGGCATGGCAGACTGCTCCTTCTTGTCCGACTTCTGCTGCTTGGAAGGCATAATCCAGCACCGGAGTGTTTAGAATGGAATAATTATCCACCTGGCGATGGCCAAAGGCAAAACTATGGGGATTTAAAATAGTAAATGAATAAAAGTTACGGGAGCTAGATTCGACACTGCCTACTCCATCTCGCCCCACCGGAAGATCCCAATATCAAGTATTGTTGACTTAAAAATGTTCATATCTTTACAACTAGCTATTTTGTTAGCACATTACATATGAAAATCAAATATATTTAACTTGAATATTTGTGTTATCTCTAAATAAAAAACTTTTCGCTGTATAAAACGCGATATGAATTAAAAACGTCAATTGAGTAGTACTCAAAACTGACTGAATGTAGAGTACTTAAAACATTTTTTGAAACCGATTACATAAATATTTTCAGATAACTGTAACTCAAAATCCCTAAGTTAACATTAACACAGTAAACATTAAAAAGCACTTTAACACTGACAATTTAAATGCAAATCACTGTTTTATTAAGTGACAATATACAAAACAATATACCGGTGTATATATATATATATATATAACTCTTTTTTAAATAAAAAAACACAATTGAACACAATTTTCAGAAACAGTTCTGCGTATTAATTTAACACATGGACCATAAAGACCCAATACGTATAAAACATCTACAAACAGTCCTTCAACTTGAAGCTGAACAGTAATGTGTGTGTGTGTGTGTGTGTGTGTGTGTGTGTGTGTGTGTGTGTGTGTGTGTGTGTGTGTGTGTGTGTGTGTGTGTGTGTGTGTGTGTGTGTGTGTGTGTGTGTGTGTGTGTGTGTGTGTGTGTGTGTGTGTGTGTGTGTGTGTGTGTGTGTGTGTGTGTGTGTTAAAGTACAACTTTGTTGGTAGGATTACACTGCCAAAAGCTCATTTTTCAGGCTCAACGCCCTGGGCTTCAAGTTCCCCTCATCCAGGCCCATCAACACTTTCTGGGTGAAGTCAAAAGTGTTGGCCAAGTCTTTTGGGTAGCTCAGATGCAGGGCAAAGGTCAGTGCAAAAAACAGGATGAATGCGTCAGCCAGTGTGGGGAGCTCGATAACTCTGTTACCCTCAATGACAACAGCGATCCTCTGGGCAGAAGAGCGTGGTATCTGTTGACCTGGCACTGATCATGAGAAGTCCGACCGCGATGTCCTCTATGTCTGGATCATCAGACTGCTCCACCTGATGACAAGAACAGATAAACGTTACCCATTACCCCAAATTGCCTTGGCTATCTGAGAAATCTGTTTTCTGAAAAATACATCAGTGACATATCACATCAAATAACCTAATGTTTTGTGAATAATCCATTGTGTACCTTACAATAATTACAATTCTTATGGCAATATTCAAATCTTGGAACTAGAACCTGAATGGGATGTGAGCAACACAAGAGATAATGTTTGATTAACAACACCTGACAGAATCAAGCTTTGATGACACCAGGACAGTTCATACTTTTTCAAACTAAATCTATCATTTATTATAATTTTTTCACTATAAAAATTCAAATAATTGTCTTCCTGCGATAGAGCTCCTGAAACAATGTAACAAGATAAACTATATTTTTTGATGATCTGTCACATACATTCAAAACAGTTATTATGCTGACTTACATGCCACAGCCTCAGAAACGTGGAGTCATCTTCATGCAGATATGCAGGCAGAGCACGGAGGACAGCAGCACGTCGGACATGGACGTCACCTTGCTCCTTGAGTGTGAGAACATATCTTTGTTTTACTTTGGATGCTAAACAGTATAGCCACACAACAATTGATATCACAAGAAAGGGCTCTTCCATGACTGAAGAGATTACCATTTTGACAAAGATAATCCACTCTAGTATGAGAATAAAACACCAAGAGGCATAACCGACTCACCTGGAGGTCATAGGAGACGAATAGCTGATTCAGAACTTCAGCTACCTTCCCTTTGCTTGCCGCCTTCTTCCTGAACAGGCTCTGAAGACGGGGGGCATGTCTATCCAACTCCGCATAGAAGTGGTTCTTCAGGTTGAGGTTTGTTATCCTGTGAAACTCTGCCAAAATATAAAATGACTATTTAATTCACAGTACAATGTATATGTGGACTGAAGGCAGCAGAGATAAACAGAAACATAACATGTCAAAGTTATCAGTGACAAAGGCACACAAAATAATTATATAGTTGTAATAAATAAAATATTTTCACCTGTGACTCCATTTTCAAGGCAGGCCAGCGTTCCAGGATCTCTCCAACAGGTAGCTCATCATTGATGATCTCATTGCGCCGCAGGGCAAAGGTAGTCTGCATTAACTTTTCAATCAAGGGAATAATAATGTTATAATGTTCAAGTAACTGTGCCCTTGTATCAAAGACAGCAGCACAAAGTTTGCATCTCCAAGCCATTGGAAAACGTAACAATATTCACAGGCACCAACACAAATCTAACATAATTTCAGTGTTGCGCACTAAATATTCATTCACATTTTAGTAACCATGTGGAATAAACATGGACGCGGGAAGGGGCTGCAGCACCCCCAAACGCGGCGCACCTACAGTGTAACAGCCCCTACACACGGCGGCGTGCGTTGACGCTTGCCGGCGGGCATGTCTGAAGCTAGACCAACAACCAATCATCTGAAAGCTACGCTTTGCTCCCACAAAGCAGTTCGGCTAAGCGTGACGTCACCCCAGCCAAAGCGTTGCCCATTCACTTTGAATGGAGTGACGTCACGCTTTGCCAAACTGCATTGTGACAATCGAATCATATGCCAGTACAAGCTCTAGCCAATCAAACCGTAGCTTGTGGTGTGTCTGGGGCGGGAGATTCACGTGATTGGATGTTGGTCGGGCATTTTGAGTGTGTGAATGCAATACATTTAGTGACTATAGATGAACACTGGCCTATACTTTTAGTAAATGTAACAGACAAGAAACACTATTTTTGTAAATAATCCCTCTAATTCCTGCCAAACATGCCATTTTGAGCGTACATTACATTACATTACATTTAGCAGACGCTTTTATTTACTATATGAATAATCGTACACCAAATAAATAAGTAATAGATAAAAACAGAGAGATTACATACCTTTCCCGTGGTGGAATTTCATCATCAGTGTCACAACGCTCCGGGTTCCGTTCTGGCTGCAGGAGATCCTCGTCGTCTGACTCAGAATCAACAGGTAACATATCTGCATCGCTGTCAACATTAGTCACAATTTCCATTGCCTGTAAAGTAGTAAGCATCTCTTTCCTGCAAGCCATTATTTGACAAAAGTCAAAGTATAGAAAAAGTCCTAAACGCCAATCTTGTAATCTGCTCCGTTATCTGCTGTCCGCTCTGTGCGCTCTGGGTCCTGCTGCAATTCCTGTTGTTTACGTAGTAAACACGGCGTAGAGTCTGCTGCGTAATTGGTCTGCCGCTGGCATTCATACTCTATACTTTACGCAGGACCATATCTATGGAACCCATTGGTCGATTTGAGTGATTTACACCTTTTCTTAACCATTAGATCCAATAGAATCCGATGGGCAGTTCCCAAATCCACATAAACATTACCATTGCGGAGGTAATAGAGAAGCAAACGAAGCATATCTGAAAGTACAAGCCTTGACTGCAAAACTTTAAACCCAGTTTATTGCCATAAATATGATGATGGATTATCAGTAAAAAATTATACGTGACACAGAGACATTGGATTAACCTTGAGCGGCGTTTTTATTCCGTTGAACACAACTTTTGATCACAAATAAAAAAAGGTAAGATGTAATTATTGTAATATTTTTGAAACCGGATATTGTTTACTTTCTCTTTTCTGGCTGAAAGCTCCGCAAATTCGGGGTCATACAGTGATGACACTACATGTATGGAATCTGTGGAGTCTCAGCTTTAATCGGATATCTTGTTTGTGCAGTTACGATAAGTAATAAGGGCATTTTGAGAGTGAGTGCTGTGCAAAAGTCCGTTAGCATTAGTTAGCATTTTTTCGCAAAATGCTAATTCAAAGGCTTGGTATTACTCTTGTGTTTCTTTTAGCTAAAAATGGTTAATTTCTTCAGTTAGCTGAGATTCTTCCCGTTAATCTGGTGCTACACATTAATAGTTTCATAAATGTTAAGAAGCCCTGAGACATTGTCTAAAAAAAAAACAGTGGGAGGGGTCCACTGGGGGGACCGCCGTGCTTAAGAGGTTAAAGGAGAGGTGTCATGCTTTTCCGGTTATTACCCGTCCCCTTGTGTGTTATGAAGGATTTTATGCATGTAAACGGTGTGCAGAGTCAAAACCCTCAAAGTACACCCTATAGCGAGTAAAACTCTTAACACAGAAAATACCTCCCCAAAACCAACACAGTCTCACGGCATTTCGTGTTATAGTCACGAAATTAATCTATTGATTCGTGTTCAACAACACGATTTCGCCATTTTTTTTCGTGTCACACAGAACGATTTTAAAAGCAATGTAAATCATAACAAATTAGAAGGAAAAACAGATTAAAAAAAATACAGATTTCAGTATTCTGAGGCTCTTTGCCCATTTATTTTCCTCGCGGACGGCAAAAAAACTCAGACATTATTCAATTTAAAATAAAAGGGATAGGGTTAGGCTTAGGGTAAGATATTGAGTAAGAAAATGTTTTTATGAACCACACAGCTTCTGGTATTCCAAGACCCAACCGGACAAAAAGACGTGGTGCAGGCACGAAACATACTACCAATAGAAATACATTGCTTTTAAAATCGTTCTGTGTGACACGAAAAAAATGCGCAAATCGTGTTGGTGAACACGAATCAATAGATTAAATTAATTTCGTGACTATAACACGAAATGCCGTGAGACTGGGTTGCCAAAACGCCTCGTTTGGAGATACGTCATTGTCCATTTCGTTCCGGGTACGGCATGATGTCATGCCGTACCCGGAACGAAATGGACCAATCCATGGAGCCGTTACGTTACGTCCGCGGAGCCGTTACCTTAAGCCCCCGCTGATTGGTCCAAATTGACCAATCCACGGACTTCCTCACACACACATCTGTGTGCAGGGAGCAGGCAGCTCAGCTGATTTCTCCTCCCTGGCTGCAGGCTGATAACAGACAGTTGGGATCGCGGTGAAATTCTCTCTGCAGACCCATTCTCACAGCGTTTATCAACCTTTTTCTTACTCAATATCAAGCCACACTTATTGTTTTTACTTCGGCTGTGAGTTTGTGTGTGCTCAGGATGAGTTTGGCTGTGTTTCGCAATGTATCCTAAACAAGGAAACACCTCCACGGAGCTCAGCGCGATTCACAACGTCCCGACCAATCAGAGCACACTGTGCTCATAGGGAGGGTGGGGGCTGGAGCTTTTGGAGCTACAACGAGCCGTTAACCTGTTACGCACCATCCGCCCGGTACCGGGCGGATAAACGCGTCATTTGCAGGAAACAACGTCTAAGGAATCTTAATATTTAATAAACTATGAATGTTTTATATCCATGTAACGGGAAGAAACTCAGCTAACTGATCTTTTAAAAAAAAAAATCCAAAAAAAACCCACAATGCTAACACTCAGCCTCTGAATTAGCCACGTGCGAAAAAATGTAACCTAAAACGGCACTTAAACTCACAATAACTCCCTTATTACTTATCCTAGATGCACAGCAAACCACTCGTTTTGGGTGTCCTGGAGACACAGAATCGTTTGGTGCCCACCTCAACACTCAGTGATAAACATTTGCGACGCTATAAACGAAAGCGTACATCATAACATGTGGAGCTAGGTAGCTAGAAACGCTAACATGGCTTACCTTGGTCAAAACTGGTCTTCAATGGCATTAAAACGATAAAAAAACGATGCTGCAGTTAATCCATAGGTTAATCGAATGTATCTGTGTCCTCTTTGAAATTATTTCTGATAATTGAAGTAAGAAGATATGATTCTACACTATATTGAAGTAAACATGTATTATTTTGAACTGTTTTAGATAATCACTTAGAAAAAGAATGTTATTCTCACTTTTAAATTCACTGGCTCAGAGATTCTGTGTTTCAACACACCAACATCCTTATCATCCCTAAAAGCCAGATGCGGTCATTAAGTCGTTAAAGACACATCATTAAATAGGTGAGGAAGAGTTTAAATGTCGGAAGGAGGGAAGGTTAGGTGAAAATATCCCCTGGGAAAGGAATGTAGAGTAAGATAAGGTAAAGATAAACATTGACTTTTGACCTTATGGAACTTTATGGTCCGAACTCTGATTGAACCAGACCAGAAGGGAATCCAGCCAGTCAGGACACTTGGGGGAGGTGGTCAGCTTAAACAGCTCCTCCCCAGGGGTTCTCTAATTCGCTTGGGAGAAAAGTGGGAAGGAAGAATCGACAAATCTCCGCCCCAAAGACAGATAGAAATACTGACGTTTGTGTGTGTAAAATTGCTTTTGGGTTTGGTGAGTGGTTTGATCCCGATATCTGTATCCGCTTCGCATCACAGACCTGAAGTCCAATTTCTTTTTGGTTTGATGAGTTGGTTTGATCCCGACACATTTATCCGCTTCGCATCACAGACCTAAAAGCCCGGGGTACCCGGAGTACTCTGTATAACTTGTATATGTGTTTGGTTTCCTACTAGAAGTAAACTCAGATAATTTGTTATAACTTTGATTCCGGTGTTTTCAATTCCTTTCTTAATTTAATAGAGATCCAGCCTCATCCAACGAACGGCGCGTAGCAGAGGTATTCTACTCCAACATAATCCATAAGCAATAAAACTGCTTTTTCGTTTCCAAATGTCAGAGCGAGAGATCGGTCCACTCTGCTGCACATTTACATGCGCGCAGCCCCCACCTTTTCTCTTCACAACGTGTGTGTGTGGGAGCCTCCGCCTTCGATTCTATTGGCTCTAACGGTCAGAAAGAGGTGTCAACCATCCAAATCGACCAAGGGGGGCCAGAGATATGGAAAAAAAAAACATTTTCACCCAAATCACCTCAGAGGTGGGGTGGTTTTGGCTAAACCTCTCTAAAAAGGTCAAATGTCACTTGTTTTGCATCAATCTTGATACAGGGTACTTAGTATATGTTGTACTTTGGATTCCTAAAGCTTTTAGTCTACTAACCCATCATCCAAGGGTAGTTTTCACTATCAGTAAAAAAAAAAATGTTTGGACGGACACTATAATTTACAGTTTTTTACTATGTAAAATCTGAATTTTCTTTAAAATAAAAAACATCTATATTGATTCTGACACTTCTACATCCAACTCACAGATGTAACCTTGCTTTGATAAAAGAAATTATTCATATAATCCTTTTAGAAGTTAACTTGTAGTCATTTGTTTTGGGCATGTCATTTTCGAGCCTGAAACATGAAAAACAGGCTTGGTGCTTAACAGGTTAAAGGCAGAGAGTGAAATGCAGTGAATACAAGTAGTTTACAGAGATGCTGTATGAGAAACCAATGTGAGTTTGGAAAAATGCACAGTATAAATCTATTTTAGTATACCTCAACAATGGAATTATGATCAGTGGAAATGGCCATGACACCTCTCCTTTAAGAGAAAAAACATTGAAGGTTAGCTGGGTTGCAAAGTTTTCACAAAATGATCTGAAAAACACTATTTTCAAACCTAAAATGGCGGCAGGCGGCGCGCTTTTCTTCTTCTTTTTTGTTACCGCATGCATGTCTGTGCATGTTTTATTAACTTAGAGCAGGGGTCTCCAACCTTTCTTCATCTGAGAGCTACTTTCAAAAAATGAAAGTGGCCAAGAGCTACTTGCATCACATCGCTTACATTTATTCACATAGCCCTCATCAGTTGAATTAAGCTATACTTTTGTACACGTGTGAAATTGCAATACCTAAAGCTTATCAAAAATCTTAACTTCACATCACCACCTTACAAGCATTTCACTCTTTTGTTAGTGAGATGAATGGCACTGCATGGAGTCCACCATACAGGTGTACTGTATGCTGGAGTGTACCCACTTCGGTTCACTCTAATAGAGTCATTTAAATGTTCATCAGTCAGTATTGTTCTGTATTTAGATTTCATTCATGTCAGAAAAAGCTGCTTCACAAAGGTATGTATAACAGAACCAAATAAAGCAGACATTTTCAGTGCTGCTTGGTGAATGTTCTATAGTTTTCAGGGTCTACAAGGCTCCAGAAATGTTGTGAGTTTTGCTGAGACTTAAGCTGAACATTATTTTGGAGATCTCCACAGGATTGACACTGAACAGTTGTTCAGCCATCTTTTTCTTCTTCTTCTTCGTCTTGACATTAAATTATAAACCATAATAAATCAATTGTATAGGTCTAGCCTCCCTATATCTGTGTGTGAAAATGGTTCCATCCTCAAAAACAAAAAAACTAATACTTCAGCAGTCTAGCTGCAGCTTCTAGCAACGGTCTTCTGTTAAAAAAAAAAAGACACTGAATGTCTTGAATGTGGCATCACACACGTGACTTAAGTCTGAACACAGCAGACAACAGGAGTATTTACAACAGCATTATAAAAACAAAAATAGTGCATGTGGGTGCACACTTACATTCTCTGTCTTACTGTTACATAAATCCCATGAATGTATGAGATTAAGTTAGCTTCAACATATCTCAATCAGTGATTAAGTGAATAATAAAGTTTCTATCGGGTCACTATCAGCCTGTCACTCATTATTTTCAGGGAGGGGGCGGGGTTTGGAGGAACGGAGAGGAGACGGTGATCGCGGAAGCTTTCCTCCTGCCTTCACAAACTTTACACAAGTATTTATCAACTGAAAATAGCAAGAGGACATTCATACTCTGCAATCCAAGACTTGATTAAATCCACCAAAAACCTGACATGACGATAACGAGTGTTTTTCAAAAAACACAAATCCCTGCCTGTGTGTCTCTGAGCCGCAGCGACAGGGCCTGATTCAGAGCGGGTCATTCTGCTGTTGGTTCTGGACTGGTGCTGGTGGAGAAAGCAGACTGCTCCGTGTGTGTTGTCGCTGTGCTGCTGTCACGTCTGTTCCTTGAGCTCTGCGTCACCGACCATTTGATATTCGTGTGACAGAAAAAATTCTAAAATAAAAAAACCTTATTGTCCAGCCGCGGCCGAAAAATCAATAAGCAACCTTACTACACTACTATAATCGATAATCGAGCGGCGAGCTACTGAAAAGCTGCCCGCGAGCTACCGGTAGCTCGCGATCGACGTGTTGGAGAGCCCTGACTTAGAGGCATAGAGGATTTACGTTCATTTTATCCACTAACGTTGTACCATAACCGTGCGTTCTGCATGTTTGTAAAAGCAAGCTAACTTGAAACACTAGACTATTATCTGTTAAATCCGGCAGCCCCCAGTACCGAGGGCTTTTTGTTCACGAAACTTTGTCTCAGGGCTTCTTAACATTTAAAAACCTATTAATGTGTCATACCCACTTAACGAAACTCAGCTAACTGACGATACGAACCATTTTTACCGAAACAAAACACAAGTCTCACAAGAAGCGTCTAAATGAACCCTGAGCAAAAAAATGCCAACGCACAGAACTCACGGTAGAAATACTTTATTATACTTATCGTAACTGCACATACAATATATCAGATTAAAGCTGAGATTCCACAGATTCTAGAAGTATTAGTATCATCACTGCGCGATCATTACCTTTGCTGAGTTACATGTATTTGAAAACGCTGGGGGGTATAAATTACCTTGTAAAATGAATAGTCAAGTGTTTCAAGTTAGCTTGCTTTTACAAACATGCAGAACGCACGGTTATGGTACATTGTAGTGGATCAAATGAACGTAAATCCTCTATGCCTCTAAGTTAATAAAACATGCCCAGACATGCGGTAAAAAAAAAAGAAGAAAGAAAATGCGCCGCCTGCCGCCATTTTAGGTTCGAATTTTCCAGAGAACTTTTGCAACAGAAACGTTCCACTTTGAGATATAACTTTAAACAATATAAAAATACTGTCTTACATGTAAGTTCAATAAGGAGAGACGTTGATGTATGAAATACATATTTATTACCGGGACACATAATATGAATGTAATAATGATTGCCACAATTATAACAGGAGAATGGAATGGTGTTTGGCGATTAGGCCCCAGTTTGCAGGATAATCATTCAGGAGGGAGAAGAACCGCTCCGATGAAACCTGAAATTAGAGATGGGCGAGTCCTGATTCATCCGGATCATTAACCCGGATCCTAGAAATGAGCTGGTCGTGACGAGTCTCCCCTCTCCATTAACCCGAGTCCTTGAGTCCCACACTTGGTGTGACGTACAAATTAAAACTATAAATTGCGTCACTCGCTACTCTCTTTATAACATGTAAAATCACATTACAACGTACCCCAGTCCATCTGCCTACCCTTTAGCAAGTATACAGGATAGCTGCCTGCCAGAAGTTATCGTTTGGCTCAGGGGAGGGGACGCGGATCAGTGAAACTTCCTGCAGACTCGTGGGGACTCAGAGGAGCCGACAGCTCCTAACCGTAATAGCATAGCAGATCCAGAGATCCATACTCGTCATGTGCACGAGCATAGCCCCTCCTCCAGGACCCGGCTCCCGCGCTATCAACAGCAGACTCGCAGATTCGCAAATCCTGACTCGCTGTGCAACACACAGCAGAGCAGACTCGTGCGGACTCGGAGCCGTAACCATATAGCAGCAGATCCAGAGATCCAGCAGACTCGTCCTCATGCACGAGTCAACAGCAGACTCAGATTTGCCAAATCGCAAAATAACCCTTTTTTTTGTGATCAACATTTTTTATTAAAGCAAAATACACTGTGTAGCGGAGGTTAATATAACGTCAGTTTAATAGATAGATAGATAGTACTTTATTGATCCCAAATTGGGAAATTGTTGTTGTTACAGCAGCATAAGGCATTTTACAATAAAACAAAACTACAAAATATACAAGAATAGAAAGAAAAAGAAAATAAAATATAAAATATACATGTCGAAATAGAAAATATACATGCAGATATTACATATATATATATATATATATACAAATATCTATATATTCAAAATATATGGAATAATAATATGCTCGTGAAATGCAACAACTTTTCGGTTTCACCGATAGGATTTCTACGGTCTTGGTGATGCTGACTCATATGACTCAAATGACTCGTATGATCCGGATCTCTTCAATGACTGACTCAGAAGACCCTGAGTCCGTAAAAGGATCCGGATTTGCCATCTCTACCTGAAATGACAGCTGACAAGAGGGAAGAGTAGATATAAAGGGATTAGCGGGTGCAACGATAGGCTTGTGAGAATGGAGAGAGGAGAGATTGGTTAGCTGGGGAGTGACGCCCCCGATCACTTAATGAGGGAGGAGAGAGTAATGAAGTGACGTGTAATCTGAATGAAGAGCTTGGTCTTCCTGATTGAACTTGCGCTAAGCTTAATTTAAATCATTTTTCAAGTGAGGCAGATATTAAATGTAGGCTAGCTAACAAGAGCTCAAATCAAACTAACACACCATGCAACACAAAGTGCATTAGATGCAGAAATTAATAAAACATAATTTAAATACTGTGCAAAGGCAAGACGTAACTCACCAGAGTAGTGCGGCCAAAAAAAGGATCACGATTCCGGCAGTGAGAGCACGGTGGGCAAAGTATTCTTAAAAGTCTGAGCGATTTCAACCGAGGCGAGGAGCTAATGGCGGACTCTGGTGAAGGCATGGGTGACGTCAGGGGCGGAGCACATATGTGATGACGTCAGACCAGCGTCAGACAGATTCAGTAAAAATGTTTGAGTACTATCACCAAATCACCAATATGACCCAAAGTGGTTGAACACTGTATACACAATATTAAAAATCAGTTCATAGTCATCAGAAAATTAGCGGTGAATTAACTTTTTTAAATGTTTGAGTTAAAACAACCCATTTTCTTTCAGAAGCTTGTAATGTTCGGTCTTAACGTGCAGGTGAGAGTGTTGATGAGGACCAGGCTGGAGATCACTCTGATGCTGATAGTTAGAATAACAGACTGGAAGCTTTAAAAGGAGGGTGGTGCTCGAATTATTGTTCTTCCTCTGTTAACTTGCAAGGAAACGCGTGGAGTCATCATTGCTTTGGACAAAAAGGGCTTCACAGGCAAGGATATTGCTGCTAGTAACATTGCACCTAAATCAACTATTTATCAGATCATTAAGAACCTCAAGGAGAGCGGTTCAATTGTTGTGAAGAAGGGTTCAGGGGCCCCAAGTAGGTCCAGCAAGCACCAGGACCGTCTCCTAAAGTAGATTCAACTGCGGGATCTGGGCACCAGAGCTTGCTCAGGAATGGCAGCAGGCAGGTGTGAGTGCAAGTAGTCACATTAGTATGCATATCCCTGACAGTCATAATTTATGACCCTTACTACTCATTTTATGACCCCTAATAAACCTTTGATGTGAGGTGATATGACAGGTGTTTAATCTGTATGACGTGTGATGACAGGTGTCTAATCTTTATGACGTGTGATATGTTTTATGAGGTGTTGTTTATTATGGTATAATAAACCTTTGATGTCTGTCTTTTGATGAGTGTCTGATGACCTGTTGTTCAATTGCCCTCTCTAAAAGATTAGTTTAATATGATTTGTGTTAATTAAGGATGTTCTTTTAAGTTGTATGGCGTGTGAACTAATGTTTAATTACTTTATTAACTATAAGGAAGTCTATTTGAAGTGGGTAATAATAATTTAAAGATCTTAACCTGTTAAGCCCCGGGGGCACGAAACTGTCTCAGGGCTTCTTAACATTTATGAAACTATTAATGTTCCATACTCACTTAACGGGAAGAAACTCAGCTAACTGACGATACGAACCATTTTTACCGAAACAAAACACAAGTCTCACAAGAAGCGTCTAAATGAGCCCTGAGCGAAAAAATGCTATCGCACTTAGCACAGAACTCACAGCTTGAATACCCTTATTACTTATCGTATCTGCACAAACAAGATATCGATTAGCAAACTGAGATTCCACAGATTCCAGAAATATTAGTATCATCACTGAGCGATCCGGACTTGCGACAGGGGAAGTGAAAACGGACAACACGTAGCTTCACGGAGGAAGCTTCTTACCTTAGCTGTTGTTCTGATCAAAGGTTGTGTTCAATGGCATCAAAACTATAAAAACGCTGCTGAAGGTTAATCCAATGGTTAATCCAATGTGTCTGTGTCACTTTGAAATGATTCCTGATAATCCATCTTCATATTTACTAGTTTGAGCCTAGTTTTCAGTTTTCAGAGCATAACATTGCTTTCGACTGCGTGCACATAGCTTTCACTTGTCAATGGTAACGTGTGTGTGTATGTGGAACTTCCCCTTCGATTCTATTGGCTCTAACGGTTAAAAAGAGGTGTCAATCACCAAAATCGACCAATGGGTTCCAGAGAAACAGCAAATCCACCCAAATGACCCCAAAGGTGCTTTTTATTTTTGCTAAACCTCTCTAAAAAGGTCAAATGTCACTTGTTTTGCATCAATCTTGATACAGGGTACTTATTATATGTTATAGTTTGGATTCCTAAAGCTTTTAGTCTACTATCCCATCATTCAAGGGTGGTTTTCACTATAAGTAATGTTTTTTTTTTGGACGGACACTATAATTTGCATTATTTTACTATGTTCAATCTGAATTTACTTTAAAATAAAAAAATTCTATATTGATTCTGACTCTACTACATCCAACTCACAGGTTTATCATTGCTTTGAGAAAAAAGATTATTAATTTACCCCTTTTTAGAAGTTAAGTTATGGTCATTTGTTCTGGGAATGTCATTTTTGAGTCTGAGACCTGGAAAACAGGCTCGGGCTTAACAGGTTAACTATAAGGAAGCCCCTTTTGAAGTTGTGTTTGGGTAATAATAGAAAGAGCTTAAGACCCCTTGATCCTGGCCTTTTTTATTGTTTAATTTAACTGTAAAACTATCTATTTGTATTGAATAGTTTCTGAGCTTTGAAGTTGTGTGAGACTGTCTGCAGCTGCAGCAAAGTGTTAACTGTTTAAAGGCCCTGACACACCAAGCCGATTTCGGCTGTCGATAGATGTCTGGCCGTCGATGAGCGTCCTGTCGCCCTACTCAGATTGGTGTGTCCCGCACCATCGTGTCTTTTCGGCCGTGCCGACACCTTCCGCTGCCGATTCACCTTGTTGAATCTTTTCCTCCGTACCCAAATCTCTAAAAACTGAGGTACAACGGAGCTGATCCAGATTTGCGTCCGATATGACGTAATATCGGAAATGTGGACCCACGGCACTATCAGAAAGTTGCTATCAGAAACAATGCCCGACCGTTTTGGACGTAATATGGTCAGTGTTTACATTAGCATCGCTAACACTCAGAGCTAACCTGTACTGGAGAGCATGTGTGTGAAGAAGCTGGATATAATAAGGAACTCACCTTGTGGTATAACCGGCAAGAGAGAAAGCCTTTGAGCTCCATACTGTTTCAGAAATAATCCTTGATAATCCATGATATGGCGTTTCATCACGGCAGTATTTCGTTTAGACAGTAGCTGCCGGGTCCCGCATAAGCTCAGCCCCCTCCTTTTTGAAATTTTTTTTTTTTGAAAAAGACACCATTTATCCAGTTCAAGCTGTCTTTAAGATGTGATATTGCGATAACAATAGGTCTTAAATATATTATGCAGCCCTACTTTTTGACAAACTGTATTATGCCTTTCTTTTTTCATTTGTTGTTGAGATTTTCAACATACTACTATACAAAATGACTTTTTTCATATTCTTTTGACAAACTATACTTGACTTTTTACGGAAAATCGTGACAAACTATAATGACTTATTCTTAAATTTGACATACTAAAGTACGAAAATACTATATTTTAAAGGTGGGGTAGGTAAGTTTGAGAAACCGGCTCGAGATCGCTAGAATTTGAAAATACACAACCGGAGAAAATCTGCCACTTCCTTATAGAGCCCCTCCTCCAACACACACGAACGCGCACATGACCAATGAGGGCACGAGATAAGTTTGTGCACAGATGGAAGGCTGACAGGCAGGTAGGCCATCCAGTTATTTTAGCCGGGCCGGCTAAAATGATTGGTCGTACTTTTTACAGTATTACGGCTTCCACAGATGACATTTTTTTATGGATTTTTTGTCAAAGCACTTAAGATATTCATTGCTATCGGGATGTTAAGAGCATTCCATGGAATATAACAAAAAGTGTATCTCGAGCCGGTTTCTCAAACTTACCTACCCTACCTTTAAGTAAAAAACTACAACTACATCATTGTTTTTTAAAATTATATTTCAACATATAAAACAGAACTTTTGTTTTAGTTAACATAACATGGAATGGCTTTTTCCTTGATAATTTCAACATAGAATACTATGACTTTTTTCACTGTGGAGTCACTGTGGCACAGACTGGACCGCTGGTGAACAGCTGTTAGAACGGGCCGTTCAGGTGTTCAGAACAGAGCTCCCTGTTGGAGCAGCAGAGCGTGATGTGAACTGAAAAGTTTTTCTGTCGCAATATTATTTAAGGAATCGTTGAGCTAGCTAACTAACATACATTGTCACTATCTGCTAACGTTAGCTTTAGCCTTCGTTTTCTAATAGTTTTTTCATAGGCTATAAACAGAGGTGGCATAGATCTTGTATTTGAGTAAAAGTACTCAGATCTTGTACTTGAGTAAAAGTTGAAGTACTCAGATCTTGTATTTGAGTAAAAGTAGAAGTACTCAGATCTTGTACTTGAGTAAAAGTAGAAACTACCAGAGTGTAGGAAAAGAGCCGTTTTTTAAAATTATGTGCGAAATAATCACCATGATAATGATTGACTGTATTGCCAGCAATAACTTGCTACATCTCTCAGCTGGCCAAACTACTACTCAAGCAGCATGCGTTATGCCATCATCTATATCTGTATAGTTCAATGTTAATTGACAATAAATATTGGTGTTTTTTAACTGTACTTTCTTTATTTGATTGGTAGTCAGTTGTTGATTACATGCAGATGTTGATACAGCTACAGGCTACTTCAATATATATCACACTAATTCATAAAGCAAGTTAGACATTTTGATGTTCCGGACCTTTGCATGGGGAGATTTTCTCTAACTGGACCTCATTGAATTTTAGTTGAATACCCCTGATCTACAGCAAATGTGCATTCAGGAAAGCAAGTAACAGGGTTGCAAGTAACAGGGTTGAAAATCAATGCTAATTTTAGCTTTTACCTCAGGAATTAATGCTAGCTGCACAATGTAATGCTATTGTCAAGGAATGGACACACTTTATATTATATTTATATTTATATATATTTAACAAAAGAAAGATACATTTGAAATTAATTTGTTTTTGTCTCATAATTTGAGTAACAGGGTTGCGTTTGTATGAGTGCCACACTCCTTCAAGAGTGACAAGATTGGAAATATATTACAAATAAAAGAGAGGACTTAGTTTTGGTCTACCCATGGTAGTAGCACATGGCTTGCTGATGTCCTTTCCACTGTGTCATGCGACAAACAGTTTTTTCACTTCCTCTGCCAAGCTAAAAAGGTTTCGGTAACAGGGTTGCGCGCATGTTGAGGGACACACCTTCTGTGCAAAATTACTGTTATTTAAAATGTGTTTATGATTTAACAAATTGATTTTACCATTACAAGACACATATATCAATAGAATAATACCAAAAAAGTAAATAAAAACCCTATTTTAAATGTTATAGTTGACATGCAAGTTGGTCACCAAGAAGCTGGGACAAGAGAAAAGGGCAATTTTAGGGGGTGTTCGAGAGCTATTTGATATTTTAAATAATATTTTGAAACCACTTTTTCTACAACTTTATATGCATCTTGTCTCAAGACAAGTATATTTAACACAACAAGTGCATGTCTTAGCTTTTTGGGCATGGATTATTAGATTTTTTATATGGGGGACATGAAATGTCCTCCAATTCTGGAATGACCCAAAAATAAAATGTTACCATTAGTTCTTAATGAAATTGATACGGTTTGACTTTGTATTAGTAAGCCTACTACTAACAATACATTGAAGTACTTTTACTGTGTATTTTTTTGAGAAATACTCTGTCAAAGTCCCCTCCTGAGAACAAAATCAAGCCACTTCTTCTAAGTTTGATGAGGGAAAAAAATATTTTTTGGGTGATTTAATGGGTGATGTAACATTAATGACAGACATAATATGAGGTCCTTGGCACTCTAGAGGGGTCATTTTGTGATCATGGGGCATCACCCTTACAGCATCAGGACAATATCATATGGAGTCAGATACTGGAAGTGGGCTGGAGGCGTTAACTGGGACTGATGGAAGGATGAGGCTGATGAGACTGAAGAATCTGCGAGGAACGAACTAGCGGCAGAGGAATAATTATATATTAAAAGACAGCAGCATCATAAGAGGGCAACCATGTGACAGAGTTTGTTACTTTGCTGAAGGATATTTGTGACCAGCTATCCATTCCAGGCCAGACTCTAAAGACTTTCCAAGGTGTGAAAATGCTGCTGCCGGAGTACTGACTGGAAGTATTGCTGATATCATGTCTACCATCCTCTTAAAATACTCTGTCCAACAATATCAGTCTCAGGAAGAAATGTTTTTTAACGCTTATTAAAAGAAAAACATGCATTCTTGTACTCAGGAGGGGACATTGACAGAGGATTACTGGAAAAGTACACAATAAGTACTTCATAGTACTTGTGGGGGTAGTTTCAGTAGTACTGAGTCCAACAGGATCAATCTCACGAAGAACTAATGGCAACAAAAAAGAATTCCCTCATCAAACTTAGCAGAAGTGGCTTGATTTTGTTCACAGGAGGGGACTTTGACAGAGTATTTCTCAAAAAATACACAGTAAAAGTACTTCAATGTATTGTTAGTAGTAGGCTTACTAATACAAAGTCAAACCGTATCAATTTCATTAAGAACTAATGGTAACATTTTATTTTTATCATTCATCAAAGATAGCAAAAAACATGCATTATGTACTATGGAGGGGACTCTGACAGAGGATTACTCACAAAGTACACAGTAAAGTACTTCATTTTATTTCTGGTTGCAGTCAACTAGTACCAAGTCCAACAGTGTCAGTTTTATTAAGAACTTGTGGTAAAAAATATTTGTATCACTCATTGAATATAGCAGGAATAAAAATGAAAAGCAGCTGATTGACCGAGTGCAGAATCGCTGTATACAGGGGCGGACTGGGACTACAAATCAGCCCGGGACTCTCGACCGGCCCACTTCGGTACCGCTGGCCCACCTCGGTACCGCAAGTAAGCGGCCCACCTCGGTGGTGCCGCAAGTAAATACCGCGAGGAAATTGTCGACGGGGGGGAAGGGGGGGGTGAGCAGTGACTTATCCGACCGGCCCACTTCAGTACCGGCCCATCGGGATTCGTCCCGAACGTCCCCTGGCTGTATATATAGTTTAAATCTCCTTAGTTACAATGTTGTCCATTTTAGACAAAGGCTTATTATATTTACAGCCCCTAATAACATTTATTTTCTGGGCTCAATATGTGTCTTGGCTGTTTTCGTTGTGATCGCTAAATTCACCTTGTTTATAATATTATCACTATAACACTGACCCAGATCGCTGGATCGCGAGAAACACCTGTCATCAGACTGGCAAGGGCTGTTCCATGCTCTGCTCAACCTCCCGTCTTCCCAACGGACTCAGTAGCGCCCCCTGCTGCCGTGTAGCATGTGTGAGTGAGCATGTGTGACTGTGTATGAGCCAGCCAAGGCGGAATATTACTGCCAAAAGTCACGTGACTCACTCACGTGACTTTTGGCAGTAATATTCCGCCGTGAGAAGAAAAAGTTTTGTAGTTGTAAAACAAAGTGTTGTAGTTGTAAAACAAATTTGTGCACTTGTAAAAAAAAGTTGTGTACTTGTAAAACCTAAGCTGAATTTGTCTCTGAAACATGATTTATTAGAAAAATGTTATGTGTTTGTTTGATAGATACGTTTTTTCTTTGCAAAACTAAATTCATTAGTTTGTAGATGGTGTTTTGTATTTGCAAACCACATTGTGTGTGTTAGTGAATCATAAGGCATTTGTAAAACCTGTTTAGTTTGTTTGTGGAGTTATGGCAGGAAATTAGCTCCATAGAACTCACCAAGTGTCAGAAAACACAACCCTCTCTATTTTCCTCCATACCCAAATCTCTAAAAAAGGGGCTGCAACGGATCTGATAAAAACTGATCCAGATTTGAACACTGTCCTGACGTCAGGACGGTGGCGCTACGACTATTGGGCCAACTCCACCAATCAGTAGGAGACAGCCACGGCCATTGCCGTTCGAAAGCGCTGGAGACGCTGTAGTACATATGCCAGGCCTCTAGATGGTGCGGTTGCTCACAGAATCAACCCTTGCAAAAACAGAGCTAACATTTTTCAAATTTAGTGAAATGAGGCATGGCTAAAATGCATGATCTGTTTGGTATTTTGAGAAAAAAAAAAGTATAAATATGCCTTATATAGGTATGGTCCTACACTATATTATTCAAATATAGCATGATAGGTCCACTTTAAGTAAAGTACAAGTATCTCAAAATTGTACCCAAGTATAGTACATAGTAATACATTTTCAAAATGCTCAACAGTGCTGCCAAAATTATAAACTGACAGCTACACAATTAAAATAAATGCTTTTATATATTTCTATTAGACTCTTTGGCATTTCTGTTATTATTAACACTGCTGCTTTAGTTGTTCTGACTGCTAAAATCCTCTGTTATTCCTCATTTTAAAGCCGATATTCCGTGGGGTCGGGGGGCTCAGGTTTGCATCCCTGAATATATAATGACTAATTTCATTTTTTTTTATGCTATACCATGACTTTTTTTTGGTATCCTATTTTTCTATGCAATAATTCATTTCGACATAGTATATTATATATTTTTTTTAAACACATTATGTACATACTAAACATATACCACTTTCTTTCATTATTTTTCAACATACATGAAGTTGGCACACCTTAACCAAGCCAGCCAACATCAGCTGGTGGCAAAGCCAGGGTGACAGCTAGTGATGTTACGTGCCGAGGCTTCGGAGCATTTTTAGTTATCCAGGAAGTTTTTGGTGAAGCGTGTATTGAGGCTTGTATCGCTGCTGCCAAAAAGGTCTGTCAATTTGCGACATTTATATGCATCACCTGCGAGTGACTTCACCTTTTTTTCTCTTGCCTTCTCGGCCGCACCTTTTTCTTTTAGTTTTCTTTGATTTTTATCCATGTTTTTCATTCTCCCTGTCTGCTGCGGTGTCTAATCCCTTCTCTTCGTGTGGCCGGTCTTTTTTCTTCTTCGTGTGTGATTATTTGACAGATAAGAACCACACAACTGCATTAGCGGCCGCTGTTGCCCTCTGTCGGCCGTCAGCGCAACTTAACCTGTTAAGCCCTGAGCCTGTTTTTCAGCTTTCAGGCTCGAAAATGCCACTAACACAACAAAGACTATATCTTCACTTCTAAAAGGGGTAAATTAATAATCTTTTTTCTCAAAGCAAGGTTACATCTGTGAGTTGGATGTAGAAGTGTCAGAAATCAATATAGATGTTTTTATTTTAAAATAAATTAATATGGAACATAGTAAAAACATGTAAATTCTATCTCCGCCTAAAAAAAATCCAACATTTCAGAAGCAAGCTGCTCCCTGAAAGTCTTCTGTGTGTGTGGCTTTGTGCAGCTCCTTGTGGAGAATGAAGCTGTTCACCACGGCAATGTCCACAAAATGGTAAAAAAAAGTATTGTACCATTTCATAGTTTTGTGGAGAACGCTGTAGTACCCGATCAAAGCATCAGACACATCCACGCCACCCATGCTTCGGTTGTAGTCCAACACAGCGTCAGGAACGGGAACAGTCTTAGTCTGCCACACACCAGCCTGTTTCACTTTCCGCTGGACCGTCTGACCGCTGAAGGCCTCGTGCACTGTGGAGCACATGGTCACTTCACGGCTGTCCATCCACTTTATGAACAGGAGTTTGCCTTCCCTTATCCACCGCAGATCTCCCCTTTCAGCCTTCTTTGGTAGGCTTTTTGGATGCAGGCTGAGTGGCCAATACTGGTGCAGATCTCTTTCTAGAAGTTGAGGAATGTGATGGTGTGGCAGGTGTGGGCTGGGTGAAAGTAGGCAGTGGTGAAGCCATTTCATCCTCATCTCCATCACTATGAAAACAAATGTGGAAAAACAAAGAGATTAGATTAATTCCTGTAATTCCTGTTTCCTTGGCAGTAAACATGCCATTTTGAGTGTGTGAATGCAATACATTTAGTGACTATAGAGCCATTTCATCCTCATCTCCATCACTTTGAAAACAAATGTGGAAAAACAAAGAGATTAGATTAATTCCTGTAATTCCTGTTTCCTTGGCAGTAAACATGCCATTTTGAGTGTGTGAATGCAATACATTTAGCGACTATAGATAAACACTGGCCAACCCTGTCTCCTAAAAATTATGTTCCCACAGAACTAAACTCCATTCTCAATTACGTTTAGCAAGAAACGTATTTTCTCCCACGTTACGTTTGTTATGAACATCTTAAATATGTTTATTTTCTACATATCTTTGCCATTTATTGTCTTGCTTATAATAATGATAATAGTCATTTATAAATACCATTTTAGAGCACACATTTGAAATCGACGATCGGGCTCGACATATGGTTAAATTAAAATCAGTAGGCGAGGCTGTAATTTCGCCAGCTGTTACTCTCATGAGCAAGGCAGAAAATAATAGTTTTATTATAGCGCTGTATTATTATTTATTAACTATATGAATAATCGTACACCAAATAAATAAGTAATAGATAAAAACAGAGAGATTACATACCTTTCCCGTGGTGGAATTTCATCATCAGAGTCACAACGCTCCGGGTTCCGTTCTGGCTGCAGGAGATCCTCGTCGTCTGACTCAGAATCAACAGGTAACATATCTGCATCGCTGTCAGCATTAGTCACCATTTCCATTGCCTGTAAAGTAGTAAGCATCTCTTTCCTGCAAGCCATTATTTGACAAAAGTCAAAGTATAGCAAAAGTCCTAAACGCCAATCTTGTAGTCTGCTCCGTTATCTGCTGTCCGCTCTGTGCGCTCTGGGTGCTGCTGCTGCAATTCCTCTTGTTTACGTACTAAACACTGCGTAGAGTGTGGTGCGTAATGGGTGCAATATGGTCTAGCTGCGGCCACCATGGATGTATAATAAGAACTGGATACAGCGTGGGAGGCGGGGCCTCATTCATTCCTATGAGAGTTGCTCATTCGCGCATGATGATAAAATGGCCCAACTTTTGAGAGAGCGAAACGTCACAGATTACCCGGCATGCCTGAGAAGTACCCGTATGTGCGCTCATAGCGCATGCGCAACTTTAACCATGCCCCCCAAAATGCTCGTTCACATCAAGCACGTCAATTTGCGTACACGTAACAGCACCGCACGTTCATGACAGCATGGTAATGGTTTGTTATTATGATAGATTTGATATTAACGAGGCGGCAGTTAACAGCTAGCGGTTAGCTAGTAATTATGCTAATTTACACATCAATCGTTATGTACTTTTATATTACGCTGTAACAGGATCTAGTGATATCCAAGCAACAGAGCTTCATTTAGCATGAAAGAATTATTGCACTGTATATATATATATATATATATATATATATGTATATATATACAGTGCAATAAGCTTCTTAGTGCAATAAGAAGCTACAGGGACGTTAATCTACGTCGGTAATATTAACTTTATTTAATACAACATTTACGGTACAAGATTTAATCATACAGCCCATGTAGTATAATATTTTACAAATGATGAATTACAGCAAACATGTGCAATATATCCATTATTACAGCTCCGTGGGCTGGCAGTAAGGCGATATGGGTCCGTTCTTATTGTACATCCATGGGTAAAGATAAACGCATGTACTAGTGCTGAACACGTAACATGAACGTGCCGGGCGGCGCGGTCCCGTGGGTTAGATGCGCGTTCATAATGCAGAGGGAAATAACTCTCAGAATAACGTTATTAGCACATTTTTACAACTTGAGGAACGAATGTTTTTAATAAGGGCTATACAAGTGTTCATACTGGGTAGTTTATTTAGTTTAAAAAAAATTATCCAACGATTTACAGACCACTCTGTCCCCATGTAAGTCAATGGGAAAAAGTGTTTCCGGGCCTGGCAACCAAAAGGAAGTGTAGTACCGCCGTTTGGCCAGCACGAATATTTTCATCTGAGTCCGGCGCACTTCCTGGGGGCTTGGCGGCCACGGACAGTACACGACACTACACGACACGCCCACTACACGACACGCCCACCTGACACGACGGTGGCTGAGAGACATTACCGTACATGGCAGATTAAAAGCGAATTGACGACACTTATTATTATTGAGATCGTACATGGCAGATTAAAAACGAATTGCAAATGTTATTGTAGCATTTTAAGCAACTATTAGGCAAATAAATTAATAACCTAGTCTATCCGTTTGAGACACAACAGTATAACTTTCAACCCAAATCATTTTGTCAACAAACGGTGGTTTAGTCAACTTTTTTTTAATATATAAAATAGGTATTAATGAGATGATCTATTGATTATGTTTGTCTAACTGCTACACATGTATTTTATACATAAATGTAGATATTTGTGAACATCTAAATATAGTTGTTAAAGGTTTTAAGATATACATTATCACATCATGGGGTCATTAAGGAACAAATTAGGAGGGCCAGTCAGGCCACTAATGAGCTCAATCATTCACATGTATTATTATTACTTTATAAATTAAAAGTACTAGGGGTCTATTACAAAACCTTTGAAGGAATCGCATAAATTAAAATAAATGTATGGCAAGTATGATCAAATTAACATAATGTCAAGATATAGCCAATAGACAATCAACATGCTTTGAATATAAAGGAAGAAGAACAATAAACAGATGAACATTTAGGTTTTATGTGTAAATTGTGAACAAACCATCTTAATACAACTGGCAGTCTAAGACAGCAAACTAAGCTTCTTTAACTGCTGCTAGAACACTGTTTTACCATGGGGTATTTCTAACAAGACCAAAAAGATATACAAGGCTTCCAAAACAGAAGAAACCAACTCAATACAGTATTTTAATTTCCTTCAAAACGACAAAAGCACTAATAAAAACCAAATAACAATAACATAAAGGAAAAGTAATTGAAGTGGTTGCCTGTTGTAAATACCTTGGTATCTGGCTTGATGATTGTCTCTTCTCTAATAAGTCAAAGATATGTTTACTGTATATTATAAAAATGCTTGTCATGTAGGCATACTGGAGATGGGAAGGCTTTAGTCAGTGTTGTAGCTGAGATTCTTACCGTTCCAATGATGTATTAATAATAACTTGGATTTATATAGCGCCTTTCATGAGACCCAAGGTCGCTTTAAAAAGAACAGGAGTAGAAACAAACATAACAAAAGGCAGTTAGACGAACAGTTAGACAGACAACACAAATAGATTTGGGGCCAAAGACCTTGGCAGACTTGAGGGCCCTTTTGAAGGCGTCAAGCGTGGGGATGTTGCAGATCTCCGCACGGAGAGCGTTCCAGAGAGTGGGGGCTGCCATACTGAAGGCTCTGTCCCCGAAGGATCGCAGGTTGGTGCGGGGGGCCAGAGTCTGAAGACCGCAGGTTCCGGGGTAGGGCATGTGGGAATTGTATTGATTTGATACAAGCAAGCCAGTGTTTCATTGTGTCCGAGTCCAATTTGTTGAGCTCTGGGCGTGCTCCATCACGGAGTGTTGTGTTGTTTGTCTATAGGTGAATAAAATAGAATACAATTTCAGTGACTTTAATATTGGAAATAGTTAACTCCTTAAACAAGCAGCAATGGACTGGCCTGTATAATCCTATGGGACAAAGCTGGTCATACTTCCTCACTTTCAGAAGGTAACCCTTTAACTGCCAGCGCCACCATTTGGTAGAGCACATTTTGTGTCTTGATATCTTGTTGAAAAAAAAAAAAAGTTTAACTCCATCTGATTCAGCCAGCTCTACCTTTTTGGTTGACATGTTATGCACAAAACAACCTCTAGATGTCACTGTGGTTCGAACAGAAAGCCCTTCAGCTAGTTTAAATCTTTATATATACGGTCTATGGTTTAAATGTCAGGCCTACAGCATGGCCACAAACCCCATCTAAAAACAGAGGCCTGATTGCATCCACCTGGGTTACTTGGCTCTACCCAATAACTATATATCATTTAACTTTAAACCACACTTAAAATAATAATATAATTATACATATGTGCATGTCAGTATAGCAGCTAATACATGTTTTTATTTTAAAACATTAAAATGTGAAAGACACCTTCAATGAATATTTAAAATCAGATTCTTGTAAAAATGCGAGTACATGCATTGTTCCATCTGTCAAGCTAAAATATATACATATATCTTAGCTCTTAGCTTGACATGCTAACTGAACGAGCATGTTCAGTTAGCATATATGCTAACTGAACGTCGAGCATGTCAAGCTAAGAGCTAAGATATATATATATATTTATATGTATTCCATTCCTTTACATTTAATATTTAAAATACAAATTAGCTAAATAAACACAATTACACTGCGCTAAACAGCCACATCGACAAACAAACGAGAACCTAAATAGTATGTAATTATATCTAAAACCACAATACGTTAATTACCTGTACTCGGTGCGCCATATTGTTTGTCTGTTCTCTGAACCTCATGTCTCTTTAAATATCCTTGCATCAGCGTCAGTGTCGTCAATTCGCTTTTAATCTGCCATGTATGGTAATGTCTCTCAGCCACCGTAGTGTCGTGTCAGGTGGGCGTGTCGTGTAGTGGGCGTGTCGTGTAGTGTCGTGTACTGGCCGCGGCCGCAGCTAGACCCTTCTCAATGGGTGTGCCGCTGGCATTCACAATTTATACTTTACGCAGGACCATATCTATGGAACCCATTGGTCGATTTGAGTGATTTACACCTTTTTCTTAACCATTAGATCCAATAGAATCCGATGGGCAGTTCCAAAATCCACGTAAACATTACCATTGCGGAGGTAATAGAGAAGCAAACGAAGCACATCTGAAAGTACAAGCCTTGACTGCAAAACTTTATACCCAGTTTATTGCCATAAATATGATGATGGATTATCAGTAAAAAATTATACGTGACACAGACACATTGGATTAACCTTGAGCGGCGTTTTTATTCCGTTGAACACAACTTTTGATCACAAATCAAAAAAGGTAAGATGTAATTATTGTAATATTTTTGAAACCGGATGTTGTTTACTTTCTCTTTTCTGGCTGAAAGCTCCGCAAATTCGGGGTCGTACAGTGATGACACTACATGTATGGAATATGTGGAGTCTCAGCTTTAATCGGATATCTTGTTTGTGCAGTTACGATAAGTAATAAGGGCATTTTGAGAGTGAGTGCTGTGCAAAACTCCGTTAGCATTAGTTAGCATTTTTTCGCAAAATACTAATTCAAAGGCTTGGTATTACTCTTGTGTTTCTTTTAGCTAAAAATGGTTCATATCTTCAGTTAGCTGAGATTCTTACCGTTAATCTGGTGCTACACATTAATAGTTTCATAAATGTAAGAAGCCCTGAGACATTGTCTAAAAAAAAAAAAGTGGGAGGGGTCCAATGGGGCCGGGCTTAAGAGGTTAAATGATGACTTTAAACAATTTTTTTTTTTTTAAAGGGCCGGCCAGCCGTCAACGGCCCTTGACGACCGGCCGTTCTGTGGTTCTCCAGATTCTACAGATGGCCAGTCCGCCCCTGCCCTCTAAGGCTATCGCTATTGGGTTAAGGGCGAAGCAGGATGCAGTCTACGCCCC